AGAGAGAGAGAGAGAGAGAGAGAGAGAGAGAGAGAGAAGGGGGTGAGAGAGACTGGCAATTTAATAAAGAAGGTTACATTTTGGCAAGCACAAGACACACGAGACGAAGTGGCTATTCTCACTCGGGGTGAGAAGGAAAATTAATACGATCTTGACCTCTTACCCCGGGTGAGACTTGCCAGCATTGGCTATTCTCACCCGCTGTAAAACAAGACCTGTTTTTCCTAATTTCGGAATACTGTCTATCGGTGTGGATGATCAAATTGACAAAAACAAAGAAAAAAAATTACGCAACATGATCGGTAGGAGGGACTACCTAACAACAACGACAGGTGATTGAATTATGATGGCTCGCCCACAACGCCAGGGCCCAAATCACAATTTATGACAAAAAACGTATGGAGTTACTAAGCCACTGTGGCCGTCCTTGACAGGTGTTTATTGCTTAGTGTGATAGGGGTTGTGTGTTAAAATATGGTGGCCGCGGTCGCGTTGGACAGGTGCCCGTTTTATACAGTTATATAGAAAAAACGCAAGGGGGGGAATGTAAAGTGGCTGTTTGTACAGAGGTGGCCGTCAGGGCAGGTTTGACTGTATCTAAAGTAAAGTTTCAATGTATGACTATGAGTCAACGGGTGGAATATTCATGGTAGAATATCTACCATGGAAAGCAAATAAATAAACATTTGAAATAGGCCATGTAAGTCTATCGTGGTCGTGTTGAGGACTGATGTTCACTGATTCAGACCCAGCAGAAGGCACAGACGAAGGGAGAGCTGCTAGAGAAAGCATTATCATGTCATCTATTCTATGGAACTACTTGGCACAACACAAACATTCAAACTTACTTCTGCTCAATGTCACCCATGTCAGAAGATCAGCATCCAGATCGGCAACCTAGATATATATTCTAGATCTAATTAAAACAAGTCCAACAAGTAAGAGCGAAGTCAATAGGACAACACACTGCCTCCGCCAATGGACAAGGTTGACGTCAACAATCAATAAAAGTGAGCAGATCTTTAATAAATTCAGAATGCTCTCCCTTCGTCCGGTGTTGGTGGCGCTGCCAAAACAAAACTAATTTTTCCAACGATCTAACATTTTTACCTAGACTGCTTATTAAAGCGAGATAACCGCAGCAATTTTGCGTAGGCCTTGACTGGAAGTTGCTTGTAGGTGGTAAAAAGGGAGTGCACCATTGTAATGTATAATAATAATAATACATGGGCTCGGCAAAATCGGATTTTGCGGACTGTTGTACGTTACTTTTGTAATTTCTCATGTATTTATGGACCTAATCGAGTTATGATTTTTGGCACACATTATCAATAAGAAATGCAACATAATTTTGATAAGACTTTACCTGTCATTTTTTTTCTTTTTTATCCCAAAAGGGGGAAAAAGAAAGAAAGCAAATAAATGTTCACTTTTTGACCACTTTTTTCTTACGGTAGATGCATTTTAACGATGTTTGGGATGTGCCCTGTATATATAGTCTAGCTATGGCTTCATCGTATTGGGTTTTTCTTTTTAGTAATGCATATTATATTTATTGCAGATTTTATTTTATAACCAAAATTCGCACACATTTTGGCAAAAAAGTGACGTTAAAATGGTCACTTGATTATTATATGTTATAACTCAAACCGTATTTATCTTTGTCCAGATAACAACAAATAACAACTGACAACAAATAACAGCTGATAACAACAGACTAATGACAAACATCAACACAAACGTCCTAATTCAGTTGCTTTTTCTTGGCTTTTAAGGTAGTCGAATCTACTTTGATACAACAACTAATAACAACAAATAACAACTGATACAACAGGTGCCCGGTTTCCCTCCGCACGGGTCGCACCTCATGCTCAGCGAGGCGCCCACTCTGTGGGATGGACGACCTTCAGTTTTACGGCACATGAGGTCAACGGTGGACGAAGGGATAGAAGGAGAAAGAAAGAAGGAAGGAAAAGAGGATGATTCACCAAAGTAAATGCCGCACACGGTTCCTAGAGGGTTGGGGGTCCATGTACGACACTTCGCCATTGGGGAGGGGTTTCATCTCCCTCAGACGGGGCAGTGGGTCTATTTTAATCTCCCAACCCACAAGGGA